AGTTTTGATGCCATAGTAATGCCTTCCATTATCTGGCCATAATATAAACTCTCCTGAGTTCCATGGGTATCATCTCATAGATTACAGTCCATTTATAGCCATCCTGTTTCCTACGACGATATGAAGCCGGCCGATGCCAGTGGATATTGAAACGACTACCTGTAAAATAATTTGTTTTCTTGTTCTTAATAAATTATCTTATTCCATCATTTATATTTAGTAGATTTAATCTGTCAGGTTGCCTGCTACTGTCACTCATTATGCACTGAGTCAGGAAAGGTGTGTTTCTGTTGTAGTTATAAATGCAATGGACATAAACAAAAAATAATATTAAGAAATTGAACTTTTCATTATATGTTTGTTGAGGCACTTGTAAGTATTCTCGACCATAACAGTGCCTGTGCAGTCCTGAAGGAAAGGTTATCATACCATGCAGGCAGGTCGTGAATGCTGAATCTCTAGTTGTTCTTTAAGGCTAATAAGGCAAGATTGCCTAAGAGCCAGCTGTACATGTCAATAGCACACTTCAAAACCATATGTGTTCTATCGAAATTCTCCCAAGTCTGAGGCTGCTTTTGTCACCGTGATGAGCATTGCTATCGTATTCCTGTCGCCCTGTATTCTATCCCGACAAGGGGAATGGGACATGTCAGTGGTATTTGGATTGGGAAACCTCCTGAAAATAAAGGGAGAACTCATGAATTTTCCTGGTTTAACTTCTAGGTGAGCCAGTGTACTCAACATTGGAGTCCGGGAAGAGTGCCACCAAAAACGACCCCATGGTAAGTTGTGGAAATTGACATCCACAAGGAGTTTCTTGGTTTCATTAGAACAAGACTTGAGCTCTTGTGCGTTGTGATATTTATTAAGTATACTTAGACCTAGCATTACCACTCATTGTTGACCTGTAACCTTCTGTGAAATCATACAGTTCACGGGCCAGGGATTGAGGGCCCACGTGTTCCTAGCATTTTGCAGATTCAGGCAGGAGCATGGTGTTTTCAAAGCCTGCGTGGGCTATATGGACAGAATGTGCCTTGAAAACTTGGTAGGACTGAAAAGGCATACACTATTAAAAGCATTCACTGCTCTTTTGAAGGAACTGGTTTTGATTCCCAGAAACTCTGTGGTGGCTCACCACCCATCTTAACTCCATAACAAGGGATCTGATGTCCTATTCTGCCCTTCAAGAACAGTGAATGAAAATAGTATGCAGACATACATGGAGTCAAAAATGGCCTTTCTGTGAAATGAAAAAAAATGCTAACAAAAGCAAGAGAAAAATAATAAAAATAAAAAAAACTGATATCTCCCACTTCAACTTTTAACACTTTTAGATGACATTCAACACTTGTTCAACTGCAATGCTCCTTTTCAGACTTCCGTCCTGCAAATCTTACTGGAATCTTAATATGTATCTATTTTACTTTTAACATACAGCCTTGATTTTGTTCATTGTGAAAATATCCTCAACTCAAGAGTTTTCCTATTTGTGTGTGTATGATAAAAACCTTCGTTATTTTCGATTCCAGATAGGTTTTTCCATTAGAGATGCTTCCAGTCTTCGATCCCGCTGTATTGACCATGTGGCCACATACTGACAGAACTATAGCAATATCTGAACGGGAGTTCATGTATTCAAGGCCATTGTCTCTAACTCCCTCCTGGTGCATGTCTGTTTCATAAAGCGTCTGTCTATCTAGATCAGCATGAACTGTGTGTTTGTTTGAGGGTGAGCTAGGGAGAGTGTCACTGCCATGTTTAACGATTTGTGCTGAACTAGTAAACCTAGTTAGGATAGCGAGTAGGCGGCACCAGCATACAAGTGGCAAACTGGGGCTGTTACAGGGCTTGCTGGAATGTCATGGAATGCTTTCTTCTGTGCCTGACACTCCCTGTAAAGGAATAGTGAAGCAAACTACCTCACTGACAGCATATTGTCACTCTGTTCCAGGAGACACGTTTGCCCACCTCTGGCCATGATGCACATGATGCAGCTGGACATAAATTGACTCCTCCACTTGGTCCTGAGCTTAGAGGACCTGAGGGACCTGCCTTTACAGTTGATCCAAGAGGCCAGATCCCACCACCTCCTCCTCCAGGAAACATCTGTGGAGGTCCTGGATGGTATGTCCCACCAGGGGACTTTGTGGGACAACCGTTTCCTCCAATGCCAGGTAGGTTTTGTTTTAAAAGTCTGAGTGTTTTTGAATGTTGATCTGTGCTTAACTTAAAGTTTGTTTCTTGATTCTGTTAGAAACAGTTCCCAGAACCAACTTGATAAGGAAAGTGTCATGAGGGCTCTCAGTTTACAGTCCAACACTCTATGATGTCAAGGCTTCACCTTGATACACATTATGGAATTTTGAAAATGGATTGTGTCCTGGCAGGCCAGAAGAACTGTAAATTTCCAAGTTGTGTCTGTTTTTATTGACCGTTTTTTGTTTTCTTTTTTTCTCTCCACCCTATATGGTGAGCCTGACCCCCAATTTTCTGTTCATCAGGCTTCCCTAACAACATAGATATCCACATATATTTGATTCCTAGGTGGGGAGAATAAATTCCTGGGCCACACATGCCCAGCTGAAAACCGTTTTCAGATTAAATTTCTGTGTCTTCATTGATGAGAATATACTGAGGCCAATATAGCATGTAATGACTCAATGTTTATGCGAAAAATTCCGGAGTCAATGACTTCAAAGTTTTTCCCCAAAGTCATTGTTCCCACCCAACCATGTTTAAAATCTAAAGTACATTTAATATTTTGTTGCTGTGAATCATGTGTCCATGTGTCTATAACATGAAGAAGAAGAACCAATCAGTGCTCCCAGGTGTCTCCTCTCTGCCATGGCCTCTAGTTGTATGCTCCTAGGTGAATGATATGTCTTCTTTTAGGGTGCAAGTCCTTTCTCTGACATTACAGGGAATTTCACGTTTAGGATGTCAGCTTGGTCTCATGATAGGAATGTGAATTCTGAAAGTTTACTCCATGGGGAAGGTCTTTTACAGTAAGACGTCAATGCACTGAGATCACATATAGCTCTTTAGATAGGACAAATACACCTTTACAAGTACATATTTCCACTCAAGATTTATTCCTTTGATCATGTATTGTGGTGTTGAGTTGTGCAGGTCCAAAATAGGGCCTGGAGCTTTTGGTTGCATAAGTTTAACATAACGGGGTTCAGCTTCACTGTCCTACTCCTATATCTTGGATCCTGAGAAACGTGGAGGTGCTGAGTCGCATTCCATCTTAACTTCCCCAAAGAGGCACAGTGGCCCCACTCACACAGTATGAAAGCATATATTAGCCCCCACCAGACTCGATTCCCCCTTCCCAACAACCAGCTCTCGAACGTGCAAACTGCACCTGCAGGCACCTCCTGAAACACAAGGAGACCTGGCACTTGCCATGGCAGTCAGTTCTTCTCATTGGCTGTTTAGGCAACTGCTGTTCCTTCTGTACTGCTGCTGTTGCTCAGTTGGAAGCCAATTGCAATTAGAATTTCAGATTAGTTTTGGGAAGGAAGTGTGATATGATTACTAACCTTATGAGTAAGGCATTTCCCTTTGATCTCAATATGGATAGTATCTTTTAATTGGATTATTATGTCTAATATAATCGTAGTTGTTATGCCTGCATTCTCTGTATTGGGGATATCTTCACCACTATTATCTATTTCATTAGTCCAGGAATGTGTAGAAACATCTGGTTACAGACAAACCTATAGGCACCTGCAGGTATAGTCCCTCAAATTTTAATTGAAGTAAAGTCTTATTTGGCAGTGTTAATATTAAACCAGGTGACTGGTTAATACTGGCTCATCTGGCAGAACTGAGGACTTGGGCTTTGTTCCCAGCATCTACCTAGAGCTTCGGTGGAAGGCAGTTTTCTCTTTGGGCTGGTAGTACGCCCTCTTAGCAGCCCTCCTTGGCAGTTATCCAATGAATTTGGCAATGCTTCTATCTTCTTCTGCGTATCACATTCATGTGTGAGGCATGTGAAGGACCAAAGAAGCCTTCAGAGAGCCTGGAATTGCAGATACAGATGGCTGTCAGCTGCTGTGTAGTTTCTGTGAACCAAGCACGGGTCCTAAGGAAGAGTAGACTGTTCCCTTCATCATTTGACAACACTATTCATGCTGTGAAAGATATAGGTGCGTCAGTTAATGTGTGTGTGTGTATGTGTAAGGTTAGTTTTGATGGCATAGTAATGATTTCCTATACCGTTCACCACTTAAGCCATTTTTCCAGACCTTTATTTTGTCTAATATTTTTGGCTTGTAATCCAATGTATGTGTTGAAGTTTGGCTTTGATGCAAGAGGAAGGTTTTCCTGTATCTGGTCATAATAAAACTTACTCTTCCATAGCTTCCATCATTCTTTTTAAGGCATTTAGATAGATCCTGTTTACCACACAAGGACATTAGGCAGGCAAATATCAATGGATATGTAAAAGAATACCAGTAAAACAATTTGTGTTCTTGTTCTTAATTATCTAATTTAATATTTTTATATACAGTCGATTGATTCCTTCAAGATGTCTTCAGCTATCACTAACTATTCACTAATGTAGGGAATGATGTTTATCTACTATAGATATTATAGTAACTAATATTAAGAAATAATAAAATTCAGAAATTTCAATATTCATTGTGTAATTGTTGCATTATCTATAAGGGTACCTATAAACTGAAATATATCATATGTACTGAGGGAAAGGTTGGCACACCTGGAAAACGGGAAGTCCATGCTGTATCCGAATTTGGTCATTTAAGGTGACTGGTCAAGTTTGCCAAGTGTCATTTGGATGCATCAGCCACATACTACAAAAGTATGTCCGTAATTTTGAATTTTGTCTAAGTCTGGGGCTGCTTCGTGTCGACCTGTTCTGTGTCCCAGCAAGGGGAGTGGAACAAGTCACTGTCATTTTGATCTGGAAATGATCTGGGAATAATGTGAGAATTCATGAGTTTCACTGGTTTCATTTTTTGGTCTAGATGCACCAGTCACTTCCACATTGGAATCTGGTAGCAGTGCCACCAAACATGACCCTGTGGTAAGTATTAGAAATTGTATTCTACCTATAGATCAACAACTGGTTTCTTATTTTATTAGAACAAGGTTAGAGTTGTTTCATATGTGATATTAATTAAATATACTTTCAATTATCTGTAACACTTTCATTGTTGGCTTGTAACTTTCTGTGACATTTTACAGAATACAAGCCAGAATTTGATGGTCCATGCGTTCCTTGCAATTTGCTGGCTGACCCAGGAGGAGGGGAATTTCAAGCCAGTCTGGGTTATTTAAGACAATTTGCCTCAAAAAATTAACCTAGAGTAGAGAAATGGCTTACACTTTTAAGACCACTGGCTGGCTCTCCTACAGGACATGGGTTTAACTCCCCACTCCTGTGAGGTTGATGACCATCCTTCTTAATTCCTGTTCATGGGATATGATGCCCTATCATATATTTCCAGAATATTGAATGGATTCAATATGTTGAAATACATGCAGGCAAATTCCCATGTCTCTGAAATAAAAAATATCCTAAAATAAGCAAACAAGAGAAATAAACCTGATATCGAACACTTCAAGTAGTACACTTTTAGATGAATTCCAAGCTTGTTTACTTTCAGTACCCTCTTTCAGATTTTCTTTCTTGAAATCTTTTTGGGATCCTATTATATATGTATTTTACCTATTATATATGTATTTATCCTGCACATTGTATTCTGGGAAGAATGCCAACAAACATCATCCTAATGTAAGTACTGAACATTGAATTCTTCCCGTGGATGCACACCTAGTTTCTTGTTTATTTTAGAGCAAGGCTTGAGTTAAATATACTTGCACTTAGCATTAACTTTCTTTGTTGGTCTGTAACCTTATGTGAAATTGTTTAGCTCACTAGCCTTTGTTTGATGGTACATGTGATCCCAGCAGTTTCCAGAGTGAGGCAGTAGGATGGGAATATATAATCCAGTGTGGGCTATATATGCAGAATATGCCTCATTAAACCACACAGACTTGAGAAAAGGCATTCCAGTTAAATGCAATGTCTCCTTTTATACAGGACCTAGGTTTAATTTCCAAGCTTGGAGTGGTGGCTCACAATCCATCTTACCTCCAAGGGATTTGCATATTCTATCCTTACAGAACACTGAATGACTATAGTATGCAGACATACATACAGGCAAATATACCATATCTGTGAAATGAAAAAAAAAACACTAAAATAATCCAACAAGAAAAAGAAACCAGATATCTCCCATTCAAGAAGTTCAACTTTTACATGAACTTCCAAGCTTGTTTACTTGCTTTACACTATTTCATATTTTCTTCCTTGGAATCTTATTTGAATATTAATATGTATGTATTTTACTTTTCAAATGACTTTGTCATTTTATAAATGTCCACATATCAATCATTTTCCTGTGTGTGTGTGTGTGTGTGTGTGTGTGTGTGTTCGATTAAAACGTGTCTGTTTTCTTTTCTTTTCTTTTTTTTTCTCTCTCTCTTTTTTTTTTTTTAACTAGAGATAGTGTTCCCATTAGATATGGTGCCAGTCATGGACCTCACTGAATTTGTTGAATTCCTCAACTTCTTTCCAGCCTTTACAATTGAAAATAACAGTTATTTGTTGTTTATACAGCATAATTTTCTCTTTTGCTTCACATGTTCCTATACGGTAAATCAAGTGTTCAAGTACTAGACTAGAACCATCTCAGTTGTCCTTTGTGTCTGTACTTTGCCATGGCAACTACTCTTAACCTTCTAGGAGAATGATATGAGAATTTTGGAGGGAATTTATTTCATTGGCAACACAGGAAATGTATCTTGTAGGATATCAGGTCAGGATCATAATGGGAATGTTAAGTCTTTGAGATTTACTCCATTGAAAATCTATTTTACAGTAAGTCTCCAATGTATTGAGATCTTGCATAGCTGCCAAAATAGGGAAAATATACCTAAAATTGCTGGAGACATTCTTTCTTATTAGTCCTATGTAGCTAAGAAGGTTTTTTTTTTCAATGTCAAGATTTATTTCTTAGATCAAGTAATGTCTGAGTGATGGGATATCAGTACAAGTGCTGAAGATTTTGGTTTTGTATTTGGGCTTTGAACTTAAGCTGTCCTTTACCCATCTCTTGGAACTTTAGAAATGTGACTGAACCCAGGGCATTTCCATCTTACCTCACCACAAGATTCGAGTTTTTTCCAACTCCCACATCATGAGGCAGGAGTATGGTACATTCAAAGCCAGTGTAGCCAATATGCATAGATTGTGAATCAAAAAACTACTGAGCTGGAGAAATGGCTAAGAGTTTAATAGCACTGGCTGCTCTCCCATAGGAGCTGTGTTTGAATCCCAGCACATGATTTCAGGCAGACAATCCTTACCTCCAATTCAAGGGATCTGAATCCCTACCCTATCATTCTTTCACAATGAGTTTATAGGGCTGGAGAGATTGCTCAGCCATTAAAGGCAAGGCTCACAATCAAAAATTTAACAATGAATTTGTGGAGTATGCAGATATACATGCAAGCAAGACACCCATTTCTTTGGCATTAAAAATATACAAAAAAAAAAAGCAAGAGAAAAAAACTTGATATCTCCTACTTAAAGAAGTACAAGTTTTAGAAGAACTTCAAAGCTTGTATATGTGCTGTCTACTATTTCAGATTTTCTTCCTTGAATCTTATTTGAATCTAAACATGTATTTCATTTTTCAAATATAAAATTAATTTGGATCATTTTGGAATCACCAACATGTTAAACATTTTCCTTTTGCATCTATGTTTGATAAAAGTTCTATGTTTTGGGGGGTTTTGTTGTTGTTGTTTGTTGTTTTTTCCTAGAGATAGGATATCCCAGTAGATCTTGAGTCAGTCCTGGAACCCACTCTATTGACCAGGCACCCTCATTCTGACAGATATTCACCTTTCTCTAATAGACAAATTCTGAGATTTATGGCCTGTGCCACCATATCCTGGTGTATATCTGTTTTTAAACGTGTCTGTTTTGATCTGCTTTTACTGTACTTGTGTTTGTGGTGGAGCTAGGTAGATGATTAGTTCCATCCATAAAGCTTTCTGTTGAGATAGTAAAACTACTTCTGACTGTGAATAAGTGGCTCTCACACACATGAGGAAAATTCAGCCTGTTCCCAGGCTTTCTATAATTCCTACACTCACAGGAAAGGAGCTATGAATCAAGAAGCTTCACTTACTGTTGATTGTGACTCTGTTACAGAAGGCACCTTTGCCTAACTCTAGTCCTCCTGAATGCAATGCGGTTGGTCATGACGTGATTCCTCCACTGGATCCTTTGGTCAGAAGTCCTAGAGGCCCTGCCTTTCCAGGGAATCCAAGAGGCCCAATCCTGCCTCCACCTCCTCCTGGAAACATCTGTGGAGATTCCGGACAGTATATCACACCCAGGGACTTTGCAGGCCCACCTTTCTCTCCAGTGCCAGGTAGGCATTTTTAAAGGTCCCTGCATGTGTCAATGTTTATCTGTTCTTTTATTCAAGTTTGGTTTCTATTACTGGGAGAAATACTGGCCAGAACCAACTTGAGGGGGAAACAGTTTTCATGGTTCAAAGATACATTCCATCAACAAAGTAATTCAAGGTTTCACCTTGATCCACCATAGGGAACATTGAATTTGAACTGTGCTGTGATAGGCCAGAAGATCAGTAAATGTACAGGCTGTTTGTGGGGTATTTTTGTTTGATTGTTTTATTCTCCCCAAGGCAAAGTTTTGTATATGTTGGAAGCCTGCCCTGGAACTCAGTAGAACAGACTAGCTGTGAACTCACAGAAATCCACATCTCTCTGCTTCCCAAGTGTTGGGATTAAATGCCTGTATCAACAATGCTCAGATGCAAGTCGTTTTTAGATTTTAATTATGTGTGTTTCATTTCATAGAAATGCATTGGGGCCATTATTTGAATAATTAGTTATATGTTTTCTAAAAGTTATTTAAAAGTGGTTTCAAGTATTACTCCTGAATAGCAGTTCCCACATGATTATATTTTAATTTTTTTAAAGAGGGAGATATACAATTTTTATTTGTTTCTTTCTTTCTTTATTTATTTTACATATCAACCCCAGTTCCCTCTCCCTCACTTGCTCTTTCCCTCTTTCCCATTCTCCCATCTCCTCAGACCACCCTCCACTCCCACCACCCCACTCCACATGTAGGGTGATGCATTCCAGGAAGGGTCACCTAAATCTGTCAAGTCATTTAGAGTAGGGAATAGGCTTCCCCTTCTGCCTCCAGATTAAAGGAATATGCTCCCAAAGTCCATTTGTGCACCAGGTATACATCCTGGTTCCTCTGACCAAGGTCCTTTAGATTGCCCAGGCCTTCCAACTGAGACCCATGTTCAGGCTGTCTGATTCAGTCCCATGATGGATTCCTAGCTATCAGTCTGGGGCCCATTAGCTCCTCCTTGTTCAGGTCAGCTGTCTCTGTGTGTTTCTGAAGTCTGGTTTTGTCCTCCCTCTCTGCATTAGATTCCAGTTCAACTTAGTGTTTAAATGTGGGTGTCTGCTTCTGTTTCCATCAGCTACTAGATGAGGGCTCCATGATGGAGGATAAGTTAGTCGTTGATCTCCTTATCATGAAATGGCATTTATGGTAGCCTTTCCATTGTTGCTCAAATTGTTAGTTGAGGTCAGTCTTGTAGGTCACTGGATATTTCTCTAGAGTCAGTTTTCTCTTCAACCCTTTAATGGCTCCCTCTTTTATGATTCTCTCTCTCTCTCTGTCTCTCTCTCTCTGTCTCTCTCTCTCTCTCCTCTCTTGTCTATTGCTCCTCTGACTCAATCTTCCAAGTCCCACGTGTTTTCCTGTCCTCCCCTTCTCTTTCTCCTAGCTCCCTCTACACTCACTGTTGTCCCCCCACTTCCAAAATGCTCAGAGACATTGTCCCTTTCCCCTTCTCTGACGGACCTTAAGTGAATCTCTTAGAATCCTCCTTGTATCCTAGTTTCTCTGGAGGTGTGTATTATAGCCTGGTGATTCTTTACTGTATGTCTAAATTCCATATATGAGTGAGTTCATATCATGTTCCTCTTTTTGTGACTGGGTTACCTCATTCAGGATTTTTTCTTCAAGTTCCATTCACTTGCCTGTGAATTTCAAGATTCCATTGTTTTTTTTTTTTTTTCTGTAAAGTAGTATTCCATTGTGTAAATGTGCCACATCTTCTCTATCCATTCTTCAGTTGAGGGGCATCTAGATTGCTTCCAAGTTCTTGCTATTGCAAATAATGCTGCTATGAACATAGTTGAGCACATGTCTTTGTTTCATGGATGTAAATCATTTGGGTATATGCCTAAGAGTGGCATTGCCGGATCTGTGGTAGACTGATTCCCATTTTCCTGAGGAACCACCATAGTCATCTCCAAAATGGCTGTACAAGTGTGCACTCCCACCAGCAGTGGATGAGTGTTCCCCTTCCTCCACATCCTCTCCAACATAATTATTTTTGAAGTCCTTGAAATTTTTTTATACACTTACATTTTTAAATAAAAATAATTTTTGGTTTTACATTGTAATGTCCCCTTTGGTTACTCAAGTTTCTACACAGTAAATCATGATTTCAAGTAATAGACAAGTACCATTTCAGTTGTCATAGTTTTATATTCTTTTCCTTGACAACATCCACATTGCAGGTCACTATAAGTCACTTCTCTCCTTTGGCCTGGTTGTATTCCCCATTAGCACCTTTCTTTGGTAGGTATCTCATTAATCTGTCATCTCTACCATCTGATTTCTGTGTATTACATGTGTGTTTGATTCCACAGAATGCCATAACAGGGCATCAGTGCCCCAGGAAGTGGAGTTACAGATAGTTGTGTGCTGCTGTGTAGTGGCTTGCTATTAAGCATAAGTCCTAAGGAAGAGCAGCCCATAACATTACCCTGTAAACACATTTCTCTAGCCCTTTCTTGTTGTGTCATGTTTCATGTATGTCATCTAATGAAAGTGTTAAGGTTAGTTTTTTTGCCATTTGAAGGGTTTCCTTCAAGGGTTGTAATACAAACTTTACTCTTTTCAATAGCAAACTTCTCAACTTTTTTTTGATTTTTTTTTTACTTCTCAACTTATTAAAACATTTATTTATATCCAGTGTAGTAGTGAAAGATTTTAGCCAGGAAAATGTCAGTTGATTTGTGTAAGACAACCAGTAAAATTTTTTGGTTTCATGTTCTTTATTAGTTAGCTTATTTAATCATTTTTCATTTAGTTGAATGAATCTCCCAGGACCTCTTCAATTATCACTCACTACCCTCTGAAGGTGGGAAAGATGTGTATCTACTGTAGGTATGACAGAAAATCACATTAAATATAAAATGAAACCATTTAAATTTTCATTGTGTATTTGTTATCTATAAGGGTACTTTTTAACAAAAATATATGTTAAGGGGTGTCACACATAGACAGAGGAAGCAGATGCTTCAACCTGAGTTCTTCACTTAGGCTACCTCAGTACGATTACCTAAGAGCCTGTTGGAAAGGTCACCAGCACACTGCAAAAGAATGTTGTTTTTGTCCTATTGAAATTTCCAAGGTTCTCATGGTGCTTTGGGGACCCTAATGAGGAATACTATTGTATTTGTGTCCAGTTGTTCTCTGTACTGGCCAGGGGGAGTGGAACATGTCAGGGTCACTTGGATCTGGAAACAGTCATGGGATAAAGTGAGAACTCATGAAGTTCTCCTGATTTAATTTTCCTGTCTAGATAGGCCAGCATCCTCCACGTTGGAATACAAGAAGAATGCCACCAAAACAGACCCTGGGGTAAGTATTGGAAACTGAATTCTACTCAAGAATCCACAACTAGTTTCTCTGTTTTATTAGAACAAGTGAGAGCTCTTCTACTTTGTGATATTATGATATTAATATAATATACCTGTACTTAGAGTTAACATTCTCATTGTTGGCTTGTAACCTTCTGCGAAATAGTACAGATCACAAGACAAATTTTGATGGTCCATGTAATCCATGCATTTTGGCAGGCTACATCAGAAAGATGGTAAATTAAAAGCCAGTGTGGGCCTTATGAGCAGATCTTGTCTCAAAAATACACATAGGCTTGCTAAATGGCTTACAGGTTAAGAGCCTTGGCTGTTCTCCTAAAGAACTTGGGTTTAATTCCCAGCACCTTCTTACCTCCTAGTTCAAGGGATCTGAAGGCTTATTGTATCCTTCCAGAAAACTGAATGTATATAGTATGAAGACATACATGTAGGAAAACAGCCATTCCTGTTAATGAAAAAAAAATTAAGATAAAAAACAGAAAAAGAAGCCCAATATATCGCCCTAAAAGAAGTACAACATTTACATGAAATTCAAACTTGTTTAGGTGCTGTACACGATTTCAGATTTTCTCCCTTGAAATCTTATTTGAATCTTTTTTTAGTTATATTTATTATTTTTTCTTGTTTTAGATACTGATCCCTGTTCCTTCTCTCTCCTATGCCCCCTTGGGACCCTTCCCATCCTATTCCTGTAACCCTGGGAGGGTGATACCTTCCAGGTGGGATCATCTAAATCTGTCAAATTATTTGAAGTAGGGACTAGGCTCTCCCTCCTGGCTCTAGGCTAGGTGAATATTTTTCCATGGAGAATGGGGACCCAAAGACCTTTTGTGCACCAGGGATACATCCTGGTTCCACTGACAGAAGCCCCTTAGACTTACGGGGCATTCTACCTGAGACCCACATTCTAGAGGTCTAAGTCCGTCCAATGCTGATTACCCAGTTATCAGTTTTGGGTACATGAGTTTCCCCTTGTTCAGGTAGGCTGCCTCTGTGAGTTTCTGTACCCTGACCTTCACTCCATGTCTCAACATCCCTCCCTCTCTGCAACTGCATTCTAGGAGTTTGGCTCAGTGTTTAGCTGTGGGTACTGCTTCTGTTTCCAACAGCTACTAGATGAGGGTTCTATGATGGCATATAAGTTAGTTATCAATCTCATTATCAAGGTAAGTCATTTATGGTAGCCTTTCCAGTGTTGCTCACATTGTGAGTTGGGGTCATTCTTATAGATCTCTTGGCATTTCCCTAGTGCCAGATTTCTCTTAAAACTTGTTATGGCTCCCTCTATTATAATGTCTCCTTTCTTGCTCTCCCCTATTCTTTCCCTAACTCAATCTTCCTGTTCCATCATGCCTACCTCTCTCATCATTTTCTCCCTAACTCCCACCATCCACAATTCTCCCAATTTTCTAGGGAGATCTTGCCCATTTCTCCTTCACGGCAACATGTATGTCTCTCTGAGGGTCCGCCTTGTCTCCTAGCTTCTCTGGCATTGTGGATTGTCGGCTGGTCATCCTTCGCTCTGTCCAAAAGCCATATATGAGTGAGTACATACCATGTTTGTCATTTTGTGACCGGGTTACCTCATTCAGGATGGTTCCATCTAGTTCCTTCCATTTGCCAGCAAATTTCCAGATTACATTGTTTATTCCCTCTGAATAGTATTTCATTCTTTAAATGTACCACATTTTCTCCATCCATTCTTCAGTTGAGCAAATAATGCTTCAATGAACATAGTTGAACAGATGTCCTTGTTGTATGAGTGTGCATATTTTGGGTATATGCCTAAGAATGGAATTACTGAAACTTGAGGTACACTGATTCCCATTTTTCTGAGGAACCACCATACTGATTTCCAAAATGTCTGTACGAGTTTGCACTCCCACCAGCAGTGGAAGAATTTACTACAGTCTCCATATCCTCTCCAACATAAACTGTCATTTGTGTTTTTGTTTTTAGCTATTCTGACAGGAGTAAGATGATATCTCAGAGTTTTTTGATTTGCATTTCCCTGGTGTCTGAGGATTTTGAACACATTCTTAGGTGTCTCTATTTAGTTCTGTACCATACTTTTTAATTAGAATATTTGGTGTTTTGGTACCTAGCTTCTTGAGTTCTTTGTCATTGTGGAAATCAGCCCTCTGTCAGATGTGGGGTTGTTGAAGATCTTTTCCCATTGTATGGGCTGCCATTTTGTCTTGTTGACTGTGTCCTTTGTCTTAAGGAAGCTTTTCAATTTCAAGAGATTTCATTTATTAATTGTTGATCTCAGAGTCTGTGGTACTGGAGTTATGTTCAGGAAGCAGGCTCCTGTACCAATTTTTTCATGGATACCTCCCCCTTTCTCTTCTGGGAGGTTCAATGTGGCTGGATTTATGGTGAGGTCTTTCTTTGATATATTTAGACTTAAGTATTATGCATGGTGATCTGGAGTCTTCTACAGGTCAGCCTCCAGTTATGCCAGCACAATTTGTTGAAAATGCTTTTTATATTCCATTGCATAACTTTAGCTGCTTTGTCAAAAATCAGGTATTGGTAGATGTATGAGTTAATATCAGTGTTTTAAATTTGATTCCATTGGTCTTCCTATCTATTTTTGTGACAGTTCCAAACTGTTTTCAGGACTATAGCTCTACAGTAGAGCTTGAAGAAAGGGAAAGTGATGCCTCCAGAAAGAAGTTCCTTTATTATACAACGTTGTCTAGCCTACCCTGGGTCTACTGTTTTTCCATAGGAAGCTGACTATTGTTGTTTCAAGGTTGTGAAGAATTGTGCTGGGGTTTATGATAGGGATTGCATTGAATCTGTTGATTACTTTTGGAAAGACTACTATTTTTACTATGTTGATCCTACCTATCCAAAAGCAGAGAGATATTCCCATTTTCTGGTATCTTCTTTAATTTTTTTTCTTTAAAGACTCAAAATTCTTATTAAATAAGTTATTCACTTGTTTGGTTAACATTACCCCAAGCTATTTTATGTTTTCTTGGATAATGCAAAAAGAAAAAAAAGAGATGTTTCTGTGATTCCTTTCTCAGCCCCTTTATCATATGTATATAGTAGGGTTAGTGATTAATTTTTTTTATATGTTTAGTTAATTTTGTATCCTGACACTTTGGTAAAGGTGTCTATCAGTGGTAGGTATTCCCTGATGTAACCTGTCATATCATCTGCAAATAGTGAAAGTTTGATTTGTTACTTTCAATTTGTATTCCGTGGATCTTCTTTTGTTGTCTTAATGCCTTAGCTAGAACTTCAACTACAATATGGAAGAGGTGTGGAGAGAGTGAAGTCAGTAAAACTACTTAGAATAACAAATAAGCAGCTCCTGCACCTTTGTGGGATACTGAGCCTATCCCCAGCCTTACTAGAATGTAATGGACTGCTTTCTTCTATGCCTCACACACCCAGGAAAGGAGCTGTTAATGAAATGTCTTTACTTACTGCTGATTGTTTCTCTGTTACAGAAGGCAAGTGTGCCCAACTATGTCCCTGCTGAATGCCAACCAGCTGGCCATGGTTTGATTCCTCCACTTGTTCCCAAGGTTAGAGGCCCTGGAGGCCCTGCCTTACCAGGTGATCCTAGAGGACAGATCCCACCAACTCCTCCACCAGGAAACACATGTGCAGATCCTCAACAATATGTCCCAATAAGGGATTTTGAAGGCCTGCAGTTTCCTCCAATGCCATGTAGGCTTTCTTTAAAGGTCTGTGTTTGTGTCAGTGCTTATCTGTGCTTTCCATCAAGTTAGGTTCCTTTTACAGGGAGAAACACTAGCCAGAACCAACTTGAGAGGGACAGGGTTTATATGGCTCACAGGTTACTGTCCAGCATCAAAGGAAGTAAAAGCTTCACCTTGATCAATATTAGGCAAATTTGAATTTGAATTTTAACTGTAATATGATAGGTTAAAAGATCATTGAATGTATAATCAGGTTTTTGTTTTGCTTTGTTTTTCTCCCCAAGGCTGGGTTTCCCTATAGCTTTGGAGCCTTAACTGGAAAGCTAGTTTGTGCTTCCCAAATACTGGGATTAAAGGCCTGTGCCACCAATGTTCAGTTACAAGCATTTTTAATGTTAAGTATATGTGTACTTCATGTAATATAAGAGTATATTTAAAATATTTAAAATAAAAAAATATTTAAAATAATTACTTAGATGTTTGTCTTATGATTACTGGCTAAATTGTTTTAAAGTATTAAGTATGTCTCCTAAGTAGTGGTTCCCACATGATCCTAATCAAAATCTAAGATCATATTTAGTCATTTATTGAATTTTTTGAAATTCTTTCCAACCCTTACATTTTAAAATAAAAGTAATTTATTGATTTTACAGCATAATTTCCCCCTTTGGAATCACATGTTTCCACACAGAAAATCATATTTTCAATACCAGACAAGAACTAGCTTAGTTGTCCTAGTTGTCTGCTCTGTGCCCTCACCTTTAGTCTTAAGTTTCTATGAGCATGCCATGAGGCTTTTTTTTTGGTGGTGGAGGGATTTAAGGTTGTCCTTGGCATGACAGAAATGCTTCAAATAGGATATCAGGTCGAGATCAATGACCTGAATATTAAGTTTCAAAGTTTTAATGTATTGAAAAGCTTATTTCCAGTAAGTCTGCACTGTATTGAGATCTTTCATAGCTGCCAGTGACAAACACCCTTGAAATTTTTTGTGATGTTATTATTAGTCCTTTGTAGCTAAAATGTCCATTATGTAATGTCAAGATTTATTTGGCAGATCAAATATTGTGGTATGAATGTTTGGATACCAGAATAAGGGCTGGAACTAGTGGTTTAACAAGGGTGCAGTACAGGGTTTCAACTCCCACTGTCTTTTTCCTGTCTCTTGGAACAGGGAGAAATGTGTGCAAATGAAGGGGATTTCCATCTTATCTTCCCCCAAGATTCTAGTTCTTCCACCACTCTTACATCTCAAAGTAGAAATGAGTTCTCTCCTGACTTGAATCCTACTTCCAGTCAACCTGCACCAGAACCTCCAGCCTGCACTGGAACATCTGGAGACAGAGGAGACCTGACCAATTCCTCGGCATCCATTTTCTTTTTAGATGAAGTTTAGGTAACTGCTGTTCCTATGTGATGATATTGCTCCTCAAATCAAATGGTAACAGAATAGCATTTTGTAAATAAGGATGATTTAACTCTGAATCTTATTGGTAATTTTTTCCATTTTATTTAATTCTGTATAGTATTTTTCAGGTGGACTACCTATTCATAATTATGGTAGTTTTATAAATGTAATTTTATTATTGGTCTATCTTAAACTGGGAATGCTTTGTATCTTTACCAGGAATGTGTTCATTATGGTTTTAGACAAATGTAGAGATATTGTATATTTAATCAAATAAATTTCTATTGAATAAATAATCTTGTTTGGCATCAATTATACAAAACAACAAAACAAAATAAATAACCAAAAACCCAGCCAGGTTTCCATAAACATGATTCCATAATGTAGTCTTTTTTACTGTACCAATAATTCAGTGGTTCAAGGGGGAAATGTCTATGGCTGGAGAGATGGTGGCTCAGTAGTTAAGACTGGCTGCTACGTCAAACCAGAGTTCAGTATTCATATTGGGGTTTAAAGCACTCCAGATCTAAGGAATCCAGTGGCCACTTCTGCCTCCAAGTACACCAGACATGCATGTGTTCATCAGACATGGGAGTAGTGAACAACAATGCATCTATCTGCAGACATAAATTATATAAAAAGATGTAAAGCATTTGTAGTTTTTGTGATTTGGTTATCTTACGAAATATGTACCCTACTTTTTGCAGTTAGATATGAATGACCAAAAATGAAGAATAAGAGACTTTAAAAACTTACATATGGTTTAAAGAAGCCAGAATATTGCCTAAAGATGAACTTCAGTTTTTTTTTTTTAACTTAGTTCACTGACGAGTTTTAACACTTCAAAAACAAGTGTGCTTGTGTATGCTGTGTGTGATAGGTGAAAGAGATGGGAGAGACAGAGAGAGAGAGACAGAGAGAGAGAGAGAGCAAAAGTAGGTACAGGCATTCCTATTCTGATGCTCAATGTATGGTGATTAATTGACAGCTGGAATATTATCTTTCTACAGTACATTCTGGTGACAGCTTAGGTTCTCAGCTCACACAGTAGGCAAAGAGCCGTATTCCCTTCCTGTCAGTCTGACTGGCTTTTTATATATTTCCTCTTTTCTCAGTTTAACTATTTATACATTGATTAATTTTGTTTGCTTGCTTCTTAGAGATAGGGTCTGTGTGTGTAGTCCCTTGTACTTGCTGTGATGACCAGGCTGGCCTTGACTTTGGAGATATTCCTGATTTTGCCCATAGAGTGCTGGAATTAAGGGTGTGAACCACCATGCCTGTCATTTTATTCTTAACATATAAGATATTGACTGTTTTCCATGGGCTGCATTGAGAGAGCTGCCATGATGTAACTACTTTGAGATACCTCTTTCTGAGGTAGGGAGTTCAAGTATCTTCAGACTGGTGTTCATGTTCTTGGTCTTGCATACTGATAGGAATAGAGAGTGAGACCTAACTAATGAATTTCCTGTCGGTGTATTCAACCAGTGGTTTTCACCTGTTCAGTTATATTTTGCATCAGTGTAAAGGAACAGCATAAGAACTCATTCTCTAGCACAGCAGTGTGATCATGACTGGAATGGTTCCCTAGTGGCAATGGGGACATTCAGTGTTTCTGCTCCAGACAGAAAGCAAAGCTTTGTACTGAATGCACTGCTTCCCTCTATTCTGTTAATTAGAATTTTACAACATGTACATCTACTTCTTCATTCCCATTTTATTTCTTGATTCAGCAAATTGAAAAGAACTAATGACTAGTATTTATCTACAATCAAGTTTTATATTGAAACTTTTGTAAACTTGACATCCTTAAATCTCTGTTTAAACCCACTTTCTTCTTTCTCTCCCTGGAGCAGTATTTTACTTTGTATTAGCAATTTTGATTCCCAAAATACTATTAATTTCATTGGGCATAAAAACATGCAAAATTGTTTCATATCTGACCTAAAATTTACAAGTCAAGAAATCGAATTCATTATTTAAGTGCTAATTCTGGCCTGTAGTAATCACATACTAAATGTCGTTCTCCTGCTCTGTGAATCCTAGGGACCCAGATTCTTGCTGTCGTAGTTTGTTCATAGCCTGATACAAGAGCCTGACATGATAAGACATTTAGTTTCCCTTATACTTAGACTAATTGAAGTGATAATGGGACAGGTGAAAGCTCATGAAATTGAATTGGGCATTACTTTTGAGCAATGTGAGTGTGTAATTACAGGATATAAGAGTAACCATCTCTGCTTCATCTTCTTTCATAAACAAAACATAAAATCAGTATACAATACTTAGTAAAGTAGACAATGGTTGAATCAATGGAAAACATCTGTTAGGAAGTGATGTTTACAACCCTTCAGAGTATGTTGCCATGTGGCTTTTGTCCTTCCACTGTCTTTTTAAATATAGATTCATGCATTGATATCATATGAGATACTTATATAGATTCATGAATATATTTTTAAAATAAAATTTTTTATTTCACATAGAAACACCAGTTTTTTGACTGGGATAACTACCTTAATCTAGAGGCAGGAGAGAAGCCCTAGTCCCTACTTCACATGACCTGTCAGACCTACATGGCTCCAACTGGATGGCATTCCCCTACATATGGAATTGGGGTGGGGGTATGGGAGAAGAGGATGGTTAGAGGGCATTGAGAGGGCAGAGAGAGAAAAGGGAAGGAAGAGGGAGGGAGAAAGTGAGGAAGAGAGGAAGGAAGGGAAGGAGGGAGGGAGGGAGAGGGAACTGGGATTGATATGTAAAATAATAAATTAAATTAAAAAAATGCTTTGACTCCAAAATTTAAGTCTAAGGACAAGTTACTGGGGAAAAGGATTTCTATTTTTGTTTCCACAGAAAATAAAAAGATGTGGATTCCTTCCAGACTAATGTGGTTTCATCAAGCCAGACCACCTGAAACAGAGTATGAGGTGATCCTACATTCAAAACTTACAGACTACAGCCAGGATTTCTGCATCTTCTTCAAATCCCCCATGACAGCGCCCCTTGCCAGTAGGAAGTAGTTTGGAAAGAATGACGCCCAAATTCCCAAATACTGTGTATAAATGTTTGTTTTCATTTAAATGAACTTGGTTATATAAAATAAATAAATGAAAAAAATAAGCAACTCTGCTACTTCTTCAGAACCATCTCTGCCGGCATGCTGCCATTCTTTTCACATGTTGACAATTGTCTAAGCCACCAAGACTGTAAGCAAGCCCCCAGTTAAATGTTTCCACTTACAGGAGCTACCTTGGTCATGGTGTCATTTCACACAGCAATAGAACAGTTACTAAGATATAGGACTGTGAGGTTTCAAAAGCCCTGTGCCATATTCAGTTCTTCCTGCCTCCTACTTGTGGATGAAGAAAAGAGTTCTCAGATTTTCCTGCTGGTGTCCTGCTTTTCTTCCACCATCTGAAACTGTGAGCCCAATTAACCACATTCTTTTATAAGATGCCTTGGTCATGGTGCTTTTCACTGCAACAGAGAAGTAACTAAGACAGTGACCTTCAATTTACAATCTTCCTGTTGTCTCTAAGAACTAGGATTATAGGAGTGTGTGAACATGCTTGACTTAGTCTGTTTGTAAGCTTGGATTTTCTCAAAGTGAACAAAAAAAAACTTAAGCTTTCTAAACTCTGCAGTCAAAGAGTTTTATTTAAACATCGACCTTTTGTGTTTCATATACAATAAAATACATTACAATGGTCACTTTGTAATGCTTTCTTCAGTGATAAAAGAATATATATTTAACATAAACCATACAACATCCATCTTTGGGTCAAACATTTTGCTGGTTCCCTTACAGTTTCTGTCAGGAGTTGCTTTATCTGATGACCTGTACAAGAGAAACTCTCACCACATCTGGAATTTACACACACTGTGCCAGTGGATTCACACTACAGATGCGCATATAAAATCCACATAGTATGTGCTCACTGGACAAAATGCACGCCTGTCAAAAGTTCATTTAATATAAGATGGTAAAACCATTTTAAGATATATAAAGTTGTTCCATAAATAGTGTTTCCAAACTTCCAATGGAGCAGCCAGGTCTCAGCACTGCTAACCACCCATGTCGACTACTTACTTGATTATTGGAGGCTGCCCTTAACATTATTGTATGTACCATAGCAACTCATACCTGTCATGGAACAAGCTTTGTGTTTCCTTTCTTTCCCTTCCATTCTCTCTTCACTCAAATGCATTTTTTACTTGTCTTTTTTTTTCCCCATCCCTCATCTGGGGATGATGACACACAGCACAGCTGTGTACCACAAGTCAAAATTCGACATTAAATAGTACAATCTAGCAGCATCCAGCTGGCCAAAGCGGCCAGATCCAGCCAGCATGTGGGCACTTTTTCATGCAGATCTATTCTTTGCCAGCTGACATGTATGTTAACAGAGAGAATCCTGCGACTTGTTAAGGATGTTATGACTAATATTGTTTTTGCAAGCCTGTGTGCCTACAGTTCTGTGCTTTCACTTAGCCTTGAAGTATTCCCTGGAATACAGTTCATTTCTTCTTCCACTGTTTTGATATCTGGGCTGAAGAAGCTAACTTGAATGTAAGAGGTGAAAAAACTTAAGTCGGATATAGCCTAAAATATCCAGCAATTTGAGTGTTCAGTTTATATAAATGCATTTAAAAAGGATGAAACAATATCTAACTTATACTATATGAAATTCAGAATGGTAATTGGCAGTATCAATTATTATATAGTTAATAAAAGTTAAACTCAGGTTTCTGTTAAAGATATCTTATTTGGGACACTACCTTCCCTTCTATTTTAAACCAAAATCAATGAGATGCTACCAGAATACATAGATGCAGTGCATTGCATTCAATCCACCTGGCTATGCTATGAATGTGTGTGTGTGTGTGTGTGTGTGTGTGTGTGTGTGTGTGTGTGTGTGTGTGTATTTGGCTTCTGAGCTCGGCATTTTGAAAAAGAAAGAATAAAAATGTCCAAAAAGCAGAGT